GCCGCCGCCGTTGTTGTTGTTGTTGTTGTTGTTGTTGTTGTTGTTGTTGTTGTTGTTAGGGGGCGACGCTCTTTGAAAAAACCCTAAGGCCCGGTTTAGACGGCGAACTTCTCATGCGCCGAATCTAATTGTCGTAGATACGGCAAAATATCGGAAACTGATTTAGACGTTGAACTTAATTGCACCGTACCAAATTGCGAAGACATTATATTGGAAATATTTACAATGCAAATATATGATAATCATATTATGATGTTAAAAAATAATTATGCATTAAGTTCGGCGCATGAAAAGCACGGCGTCTAAATCAATGTCGAACCTGTGTCGCATCTTCGAGTCGTGTCGAACTTAATCAAAACCTGCCGAACTTAATTGATTTAGACGCCGCTCCAACGTCGCACTTAATCCTTGCATTAGATTCGGCGCATGAAATGTTCGCCATCTAAACCGGGCCTAGGGCTCCGTCATTAGTTACTTGTCTGCATGATCGGAATGAAACTTGACACAATTATTCTATGCAATATTCCGCATCGATTGACGGTGTTCGATCACGGGCTTTAGGACAAATTCAATTCGACAACAATAGTATTCTATCTAAATAGCAGTTAAAATAAAGTGTACGGCACCTGAACTGTTCAATATCTTGCTTTTGTATCCATAAAACATTTACATATATGCAAATGCTCTATATTTTCAAAATCCGCCATATTTATTTACATTAGAACCCAAGCTTTCGCCGTTTCGCGGTTCACACGAAATATTACGTCGGTGATTTTCACTAATAATAAGAGGGTAGGATCATCCAATTGTTCAATCGTTTGAAGCGCGAGGAAACCATGCTTCCATATATGGCACAAACGTGTCCCCAACTTTCTTATATGGCACAAACGTGTCCCCCAAATTATTTTATCGAAGCCGTTATGATGTCATAAGGTTCCTCCCGCTCGGAACGATTTGAATAGGTCACGTGGTACAGAACCCAGACAGGTGATTGGGTTAGCGAGTGACTACGCCCACTTTAATCATACCCTCTTATTATTAGTCAAATTCACCGACGTTAATATTACGTGTGAACGCGAAAGCTTGGGTTCTAATGTAAATAAATATAGCGGATTTTGAAAATATACAGCATTTGCATATATACAAATGTTTTATGGATATAAAAGCAAGATATTGAACAGTTCAGGTGCCGTACACTTTATTTTAACTGCTATTTAGATAGAATACTATTGTTGTCGAATTGAATTTGTCCTAAAGCCCGTGGTTCGATTTTTCACTTTTGACTTTAGAAGCAAGATACAAGCAATTTTTGACTGTATTCGTAGCAAATAATATATACATATCATTAATATTCAGCAAATATATCAGCAAACGCAAACGATAAGAAAGACATTGTCTTGTCTATTGTTGTGAACACAATCACAATTGTCCAAGCTTCTCAAGAATGTGAACGACTAATTATAACGATTAATTATATAAGCGTTAAGTTGACTAAATTTAACACGCTGGCTTAGTTTCTCAAAGCGTAGAGGAGTAATATTGCTATCTCGCTGCATTTAATATTCATAGTCCGATAGAAAATCGTGAACCGTAAAAACAAAGACATGTAAACTTGTTTTTAGCACAAGCATGCAGTTATAAAGCCATGGCTAAACGAGATGAAATTGCATTAACCTAGCGACAATTCAGATAATTTGTTACCTTAACTTAAGCCCAGTGCACGGCACGTACACGATGGTAGCTGCAATATTTGCAATTAATGACGGCAAAATTTGATGTACGGCAAAAGTTAGCTGATTTTGGCACGGCATGTTTATTTCAAATATTGTGGAACATTTAACTTATCTATTGAATAAAAATGCGAGGAAATACTTCTGAAAACTGCGCATTTAGTTATCTATATGCTTTGTCCAGATTTACACCTCATTTAGGCTATACACGGCACTAGACACATTTTGCGCGGATAAAGTATATCTTGCATGACCAAATTAGAGCAAAATATTTAGCGAACTCAGTCTACGTTGCCAACTTCGAGAACATTAGTTTCATAAGTATAGTTATTTGTTTATCAAGTCAAAATCTCGAAGGTTTTGAACGTTTAACGATTTGCACAAGATCGAAACTGGGTCACGCAGTCCCTGGTCCACTTTTGTACGATCGTACTTGTTATTTCATATACTGGAATGCAATATAATTCACTTGTTGTTTAAAAAAGTCCAATAGCATTTTGCAAGTCATGAGAAATATATTCTTTAGGCCTGGCACTGCTAGAAAGTCACTGAATTTTAATCCATTTAACTTCTAAGTTCTATTCTCACTTGGCGTTTTCCCTATCAATTCTACCGAATAAACGGTAAAAAATATTTATGCACCCAGTTGCTAGTGAACAATCAACATGCACACCATGATGGAGTGTTTTCGGTCCACCTAATTCCAGGGCGGTACCGAACGATATACAGGGTGAGTAAAAAAACTGACACCTTTGTTATTCATTTGAATATGAAAGGTATCAGTTCTTTTACTCACCCTGAATGTTTAGGGTCAGGGTCTGAACTAAATTTCCTTTCGCTCCTCCCCCCCCTCCAGAGGAGGGGGGGGGGGTGGAGGTATGACAGTTTTCGAAAATAAAACGTTCCAAAAAGTTTTCCCAAACATTATTTTGCGATAAAGGGGCTTTAAAAATACCTTTTCACACCTTTTCTTGACTTTAATTTGTCTGAATATTCCTTAATATTAAACAGGTTCCGCAATTCTAATATTTAGGAGGTCCGTTCTGGGCGAAATTGGGCCCCCTTTCTTGACTCTTCTTTAGGGGGGTGTTGCAACCCACAACCCCCCAATAGTTATGGTCCTGTCTAATTCTCATTGCCTAACACACAACATTGCCTAACATTTGTTTAAACGTGTATGAATTTGTAGTTATTCTTTGAACTTATTAAAACAACAACGTTTTAGAAATAAATTGATTTTGCCAAGTGTCGACAGTTTTGGGTACATCTGGATATCTTTTACTAGTGTACCAGTTGGTTTAGTCAACGTCAAAACATTTTTTCACTTGTTAGCCAGTATTTGTCTCAACAGAACATGGTGACACATGTCATGCAATTTCTCAATTTGACCAATTGCAGTGCCAGTGTGAGAAAAAATTGCACGTGTAACTTATGCTTAACGAACAGGATTTAAGATAGCCTTACATCGATTTTATTGAAATGTTTTTGTTTCCTTTTTTGTTTTACAGCCGTTCGTATAATACAGTATGCTGTATTGTTGGTTTCCAACCGCTCAGTGAATTTGAAATTAACTTTGAACTACAGGGCAAGTTCTCTGTTTCTTTTATCTGTCTTTAGCTAACCTTTCCTATCATGCCAAATTTAAAGGAATAGTTGCAGAACATCGTGCTCTATTGATATAATAAATAAGATGGGTGATTACAGCTATAGATTAAATTTTGATCAAGGCAAGAAGAACGAAATCCAACATCACACAAAGAGCGTCTTAGAATGAGTAAAACTGCAAAGATTGGTTGCTAAATGTTGTAAAATGAAGAAAATCTACCACTGCGAAGTTCGCAAATTTTGTATATATTTGTATTACGCGCGGTAAAAATAACCCCGTACTTTTGACTCAAAAATCAGTTCATAAAACGATCGTATTCTGTCGTTAATTAAATCTTTGCAGCATCGTGTTAACCGCACATACATGCAAAACCAATAGATAAGGGACTGCAACTGAAGTCCAATAGCTCTATCTTTTGAGTTTAGTAAAACTTTTATATATTTTATCTGCATTCAAATATCTATAGTCTGTGTCATTCTGACTTCAAAATTAAGACCAGCAGACGCCCTGCATGCACGCTGTGACATACCTATATTTTATATTCAGAGCACGAAAGTTATATTGCTTTATAATTACACAGCTCAATATTCGTAATTAATATTACTCTCATTTATGATACATTTTATTGAATCTTCGTTCTACTATTTAATTTTCTGATCAGCAGAACAGTCTAGTACATCAAAAATTAAATTGATGGTCATTGCGTTCTACCTTTCATATTGTTCTCTAAAGTCTAAATTCAATACTCATTAAATTTGAAGATAAATAACAAATTGAATTGAGCTTGCATCACATTAACTATCGTTCTGTGCAATTTATTAATGAGAAACTCCAAGCCATGTACTATACAGGCCACAAGCATGCAGTTTCTGACACGTTACACCATGAATTGAATGTTGTTGCAGACGAAGATGTCTATTCGACATTCAATTACTACAGATTTCTTTCAAAACTTTAAAAGCTTCTTTTCTCAACACTGGTCTTGTCCAGAAGAAGACAACGGAGTTAAGTATTGTGTTAACTCCGAGGGCTGTTGCATACCAACCAATTATGACCCTATAGAATATTATGTCCTTTTCGAGATAATAAATGTTGAGAAACTCGCCAGGAATACAAAAAATATAGAATGTACCTACAACCAATGCACAAGACTTGGCAAGCTTTAATTCTTTCGGAGAATATCGTTTTCTAACACGTGATTTTGACACGTTCTCTTCGCAACTTGTGCTGCAGTTGTTTCGTAGCAGTCTTTTCCTTACTGAATATAAAATCCTTGAGTAGCAAAATGAATGTAGCAACATGGGAATAATTGCGTAGACCGCGCAAAAAATGTAGTAGAATGTTGCAGAAACCACAGCCAAGGGGACAATTATGACTGTTACCAATATAACGCAAAAAATATATACCAAAAACATTTTCTTTGTAACGTAGTTGAGATGTGCAAACGGATGCAAAACGCCCATGTATCTTTCAAAAGTCAATGCGCATAAAGCTGCTAAGGATAATCCCCACGGTATAAATGCTATTGTAGAAAAGACAAAACTTAACACACAGTCTGGCGAACCAAAAACTTCTCTGAGGTGAAGGTAGCCAAACAATGGAAGTGTAAGCAATCCAACAGACGAGTCAGCCATTGACTGCATAAATACGGGAAAGTGACAAACCTTCGCTCTCATGTGCTGACTTTTCCAGATTGTAAGAACTGTAATACCGTTCAAAAGTATCACAGGAATCATTAATATAAACATGGCAACAGATGTAATGACTTGGTTGACGACATATTCACTTGAAGGAAATTCCACAATAACAACATGTGTGTAGCCGGCTATTGAACACTCTTTAATGTAGTTGGATGTTGTATTATTTATTTCCATTTCTTCCTCCTTGAATTTTAATTTTGTTGTTTCTCCAATTGTGGGGCGATGCCAATCTAGAAAAAGATAAATTAATCCCAACATTACTATAGACGATCTACAAGTATGCCTTCTATTCATATACAGTCATGCATGTATCAGTTCATACAACTAGCCCCAATCGAGTGAGGAGTGGGGGGTGGGAGGAGGATAAATCATCCAGCTGTAGTGGAGCATGATTCCATGAACTGTTAAAATGATTAGCTGTTATGAACAGAGTAATTATTAACATTTTAATATATCGTTTACATTATCAGACAGAGACATTATGCTATAATTAACTATAAATTGGTTGTATTAACTGTCAATCATGAACGTAATTGCTTTGTTATTGTAATTTTGTATTGCTTCGAAGTATAAATATTGTTTCATTGTTGTTTATACGAAGGAGTTCATAGCGATTTACGAGCGAATTACGAGCGATTTATAAGCGATTTACGATATTTATTACATGGCGCCCAACGTGGGGCAACTTGAAAACGTAACAAGTTGAATCCAATCGAAATTATGACCGAATCGAAAGAGAATTTAGACCGATTAAGAGCGAAGCGAGGCGGACATCGAGGCGTCTGTACTAAATTGGCGAAACAAGCGGACGAACTCCTACATTTCATCATCATCATCATCATCAATCAATTTTATTTAAAATCAAGAACACGCTAGCCTCGCACAACTAAAAGCTGATTTACAGGAGGGGCGTGATATATAAAACAGTAGAATATATGGAATATTATATGAACCCCCCAACCTCCCCCCAACAACAAATTGAGAAAAATAAAGTCAAGTAAAGTAAATAAAGAGAGATAACTATAATTAAGTCAACATGGTTCTAAAAGGGCAGTTCCGCAATACTACGCTTAAATTGACTGAGCGAAGTCGCTCTTTTTGCATCTAATGGAAGATTATTCCACAGCATTGATGCGCTATATTTAAAGCTTCTCTTCAAAAAATTAGTTTTTGGTTTTGGAAGTGCTAGATCCGTTTCCTGATTTCGTAAATTATGGCGTCTATTAAGTTCACTAAGTCTTACAAGGCTTTCTCTTAAACATGGCGAACAATTTTCATTAAGGATTTTATACATTAGGATACTCTTCAACTTAGCCCGCCTAACATGTAGATTATCCCATCCTAAACCTTCCAAAAGATCACTTGATCTAATCCTATCATCATATCTTGCTCCAGTGATAACCCTAGCCGCACGATTTTGTAATATTTGAAATTTATCTTTTAATATGTTATCGCATGTATCCCACATGGCAGAGCAATAATCAAAATACGGTTGAATTAATGATTTGTATAATGTAACAAGAGAGGTCTGCGGAACGAATGGTTTAATTCTCCTCAATGCTCCTATGCCTGAACAGATCTTCTTGCATATTTCTTCAATATTGATGTCAAAAGTCAATCTCTCATCAAGATCAACTCCCAAACATTTATTCGAGACAACAGGTGAAATTACGTTATTGTTCATGATAATGCTGTTGTACAATTCACCAACTTTGTTGGTCAAATTTTGTTTAGATCCTATGACAATAAGCTTAGCCTTAGAAGGGTGGGATTGGAGTTTATTTACATTTAACCAATCTGTGACATTTTCTAAATCAGAGTTTATATCATTAGCCAGCGCAACAGAGTCGTACGAAGAGGCGAAAATTTGGGTATCATCTGCGTATAGACAGGGTGTTGTTGTCTTTAGACAGTTGGGTAAATCGTTGATATAAATTAGGAACAACAACGGGCCAAGTATGGAACCTTGTGGAACCCCGCAAATTATTTCACCTTTATTAGAGAGGCAGCCATTTACTTGACACTGTTGTTGCCGATTTGAGAGGTAGGATTTAAACCATGCAAGTTCAAGTTGAGAAACGCCATAGAAGGCTAGTTTTTCAAGTAGTATAACATGATCTATTGAATCGAAAGCTTTTCTGATATCAAGGAAAACTACCCCTGTTAACTTGCCATTATCCATATTTTCGTACCAGTTATCACACATTTGAATTAGAGCTGTAATTGTAGAGTGCCCTGGTCGAAATCCGGATTGGAATTTGGATATAAGGCAATTTTCGTTTAAATGTTTGTAAAGTTGTGTAAAGATTTCTTTTTCGAAAACCTTACTTATTATCGGTAGAATTGATATTGGTCTATAATTTCCCAAAGTTCGTTTGTTGCCTTCCTTATAAATCGGTATAACTTTCGCATATTTCCAATTTTCTACAAACACTCCAGTTGAAAGTGATAGATTAAAAATATAAGTTAAAGAGGGTGCAATTATATCTGCAGCAATGCGTAGCATTTTAGCCGGAATTTTATCAAGACCGGCGCCTTTCGAAACATTTAGATGTCTTAGAGTTTTCAAAACATTGTCCACTGGAATAAACATAAAACGAAAGGATGGAATAATTAACTTGTTGTTTTCCAAATAAGTTTCAACCTTATTTGTTGACTGATTTGAAACTTCAGAGGCTAGTTTAGGCCCAATATTAATAAAGAATTCATTAAAAGCTTCAGATATATTTTCATCGTTGCGAATAATTTCATCGTCAATTTCAATTTCATTAACATGTTTTGTTTTGCTGGCACGACCAATAAGAGAATTAATTAGTTTCCAAGTAGTTTTTGGATCGTTCTTATTACATTCGCCAATTTTTTGGCAGTAATAGCGAGATTTACTTTTCCGAATTTCAATATTGACTCTGTTCCTGGAGGCCTGATAAAGTCTCCAGTGGTACTCAGAGCCATATTTAATTGATTGTTTTTTATGATAATCACGATTACGCATCATTTTTTTAATGTTCGAATTTAGCCATGGAATTGCGGTATGCCGTATACGCTGAAGTCTCAGAGGCGCATGCCTATCTAAAACCTCATTAAAATTATTTTCCCACGCCTTCCAGGCCAAATTAGGATCATTAATGGTTTCTATTGTTTGCCAAGGTATATTAAGCAGATCACAAATGAAATTTTCCTTCACAAAGTGTTTTAAGTTTCGTACTTCTTTTTTGATTTGTCTACGCTTATATGGGATAAATTTGCGGACAACGTAGATTAAACTATGGTCAGACATACCATTATGAATAACTCCTGATTTTGCTATGTTTCTTGTCTCATTTGTGAATATCAAGTCAATTAAAGTGGCTGATCTGTTTGTCATTCGTGTAGGCTCCGAAATCAGTTGTTGCAACTGATATGTAGACGATATAAATTTTAGTCTTTGAGTATGTGATTCAGATGGATTTTTAAAATAGTCACAGTTCATATCTCCCAGAACAATCAACTGCTTATTTTCATAATCACATTTTTCAACAAATTTAGTGTAATCTTCAAATACGTTTATACTTGCATTTGGCGGTCTGTACCATGTACTAACCAAAAACGATTTGTTATATGGAAGATTAATTTATACACAGACCATTTCTAGTTGAGCAGGGGCAAGATCATGTCTAGCTGAGCAAGATATATTCTCTTTAATATATATAGCTACCCCTCCACCATGTCTATTTCGGTCTTTTCTTATTATAACGTAACCGGGGATGTGTATTTCTCCGTCAGTGATAGTATTATCAAGTTTGGATTCATTAATAGCTAGCACTTCCAAGGGACTAGACATCAAAATATAGCGAATCTCATCAATATGTTTATATAAACTATTTATATTAATACAAGCAAGCTTAAAACCTTTGATGTTAGCGATGCTATGCAGCGGTACTTTACCACAGTCCCCAGTAGAACCATGTTGGCTAAATATTTCTGTATTTTCCTGCAGGGTTATGTTAGTCTCAGGTTCCCTATTTTCATAAGCATTTCCCCGAGCTGTTTGCACAGTACCATTTGAAAACCCTTGTCCCGATCACTAGATCGTCTGCTGTTACTAGCAAGTCCCCCTACAAATTTTATGAAATGAACCGCCAATAATGATGTCCCTTTATCGTTTAAATGCAACTTGCTTTTATTCAAGCAAGTATTATCAATTTTTGAGTTATCTATATAAGAAAATTCGTGAATTACTGATAAATTTTTGAGTTTTTCATTAACTTCAACGCGTATTGGGTTCACTGAGACGTCTTCTCTATAGGTTAGTCCCGACACTCCGACTTTAGCATTAGGAAATTTATTTCTTACTTTCTTTGCCAAATTTATAATTTTAGTAGCACAAACCTCAGCAGAGTTGATGGGTAGATTATTTGTACCACAATGGATAATAACATGAGATGGGACAATCTTTGTCTGGGTATTGTCAATAGCTTCACTAATTTCTTCACATGTTTTTCCGCGATAGGTGAATTTATGCACCGTTCTTCGAGATAATTTATTTCGATATTTACCCAGCGATGTTGATGTCGATCGATGAGAAATTATCCGATCTTTACTCGAAGAGAAACTAAAAATTCTAAGCGAAATGACGAAGATATTTTAGGATTATGCGAAGTAAAAGATATCGAACAAGAAATCGAAGAATCGGCTGAGGTTGTCTCCAGAATATTAACCGCACTCTTAAAAATAGGTGTGTTTAATTAACAACACACAACTTGTGTTGTTAAACACATTGTACATTTTAGCACACGTTAATGTGTTCGTTAACAGACAAGGTGTGCTAAACAGCACAGTGCGAAACGGCAATGTGTTTTGCAACACACCATTCATCTAACACGCCTTTTGGAAAAACACACCTTTCAGACCAAAGGTGTGTTATTGTAGCACACAGTTTGAATATAACACACCTTTGGAAGAGAACACACCTTGAGAAATAGCACACCTTTTTTGGAATAACACATCTTTTTGAAACAGCACACCTCATTAAATCCGAATTGACACACCTTATGAAAATAGCACACCTTGGAATTTAGCACGCCTTATTCAAACAGCATACCTTTCTAATACAACACACCTTTTAATAACACACATTTTGGCGAAACACACCTTTCAGACCAAGGTTGTCTTATTGCGGCACACAGTTTGAAAATAATACACCTTTGAAGAAAACACACCTTGAGAAGTAGCACACCTTTTTTCGAAATAACACATCTTTTTCTTAAGCACGCCTTATGAAAATAGCACACCTTGTAAAATTAGCACGCTTTATTCACACAGCACACCTTTCCAGCGTGCGTGCATGCATATATAAATTACTGTATAACTATAAGAAAATCAACAGAGATATTGTTATACATAATGTATTTAAATGTTGATGGTGGTTTAGGAGAACGAAGACAGAAACATGTATTTATTTAACTTTGCCAAATAAGTTAAATAACATGCGACATTTACAGTAAAAATTTCAAGGTTCAAATTTAAGATGTTAAAATACATCTATCTGGTGTAACTGAGTAGAAACATAGTTATAAGTCATAACAATTATTCATACCTGATTTGGAGATTACATTTAAATTCCGCACAGGGGGGGTGGTGTGGTGAGGACCAGTGGCGGAAAATCACTTTTTCCGGGGGGGGCGGGCAAAGCCTCCTAAATTTCCGACAAAACTTTCAAATTTCTGACGTATCCCCCCCCCCATTTGCGCTCGAAAAGACTGTTTTTAGCCCTCTTTTAGGTCAAAATTTCCGAAAATTCGTCAATTTTCCGTGAATTCGTCAATTTTTCCGTGAATCAAGATTTCCGCCATTGGTGAGGACAATGGAAAATCCAGGGGAGGGGTGTAAAAAAGGCCTTGGAAAATCCAGGGGTAGGGGTGATTAGAGACCAAAATCCAGGCTCTTTTCCAGAGAAGGGGGTTACAAACTAAATTCCAGGCAAATTTAGCTGGTAAGGGGCGGACCATTAGAAAAGTGATGGGGGGGGGCACAAAAATAAAATTCGAGCAGGGAAAATAGAAGGGAAAAAATTCGTGCACCAGAAATGTCTGAAAAAAAAATTCGTGCAGAGACTTTTCAATAGGGAAAATTACAGGGCCTATCGGAGATACAGTGTAAGGGCGTCCCCGAAATTTCGAAAATAAGCTTTTTAATCGTGTTTTAAGAAGTTTTGGGGGGAGGGGGAAATGTGTTTGAAACCTTAATTGAAACCCATCGGGCACACGACGTTGTTTCAACGTTGAAATTTGGTAGAAAAAAGGTTGCGACGTCGACAACCTAATATCTACGTTGCTCTGACGTTGTTTTACAAACATTGGTTCAACAGCAGCCAACAAACGTTGAATTAACGTTCATTCATGGTTAAATGTACGACGTCTATTTGTGAACCAATCTCAACGTTGTTTTAACGTGGATTCAACGTTGAATTATGGTTAACGAGATTGGCAACCTAATTTCAACGTTGTTTCAACGTTGAAACAGTAACGTCTATCCAATTTGCATAGTCAACCCTTTTTCGACATCTATCCAACGTCTGGAAGGTCATTTCTAACGTTGATTCAACGTTGGATAAACGTCATTTTGCCCGCTGGGAATGATGTTAGTCCTAAAAAAAATTTTTGACCCTATTTTTCTTGGTCCTGCAAAAATTTTTGAGTCCGGAAAAATAATTTTAACCCCCCCCCCTCTCGCTCACCAGCAATTTTTGGGGAAAAAATAAAATTCGAGCAAGGGATTATTAAAAAAAAAATAACCGACATAGCAAAACATTTTGAAAAAAAAATCGTGCTCGTTGAAACAGTAAAAATATGCAGTGGAAAAAATTGGATAACAAAACCAACTCAAACTTTCAAAATTAATTTAAATCATAATAATCATTTTATCGAAATTTAATTGGCCTGAAACTGAGTTTATAATTCTCCATTTCCAGCAAAATATCCTGGGTGGAGAGGGGGCGGAGGTCTAGCTTCCAGAACTAAAATTCATGAAATATGTTCATGTAAGAAAGATATCGAGAGATATAAGAAGACAGCTAGAATTTTGAAGTTAATTTTAAAGTTTCTGTCATGATCAAAAGACAGAAATACAGGTCTATTTGCGCTGGATTGGTCACATGATTGAGATCAGTGCCTTCAGCCAATCGTGTTGCCATATATGGCCTCCCAGAAGGCTTAGCGCGAGCACATTTCGAGCGCGTCGTTTGGAAATTTTATTTTAACGTCGGTTGATATGGTCAAGATTTCTTAAAATATTGAAGAAAATAAGAAGGAATACTCCATTGTTTGAAGAGTCAGACAATAATATTAAGTGTAAGTGTTCAACTACGTCAATATTTTTAAGTTTCGTGTGTAAATATGTCCCATAAATAGTGTTAAATATATCCCTGTATATTTTAACCGCCCTTGCCGTTGGCCGCATTGTGTTTTGTATTTTGTTCAACAATATATTGTTATTAAAATACATTAAAACTCTGTGATATTGCTTTGTATTTACAGACTATAATTTCAAGCAATAAATACTGTCATAATGTGTAATTCCAAGCAAGTCGAACTGTCGAAATATGATATATACAGGCTACAAGAAGGTATGAAATATACAGTAGATAGCACAAAGGAAAGATTGTTCTATCATACAAAGCCATAGAACTTGCTTTGGCGATTATATCAATATTAGCTAAATGAGTCAATTTTGATACCCTCTCAATAGATCAATACATTAATATAAATATTATGTATATGTCCTTCCTTTGTGTTTATATCTATATTGTGCCATCATAGTAAATAGCTATATTTCTATTTAATATCCAGACAACCCCTGAATGTTGCTAAGGGCCTGTTCATATGATCCCGCTTACCGGGACGTCTCGCTTTCCGAGACGAATATTTCCGTGCGTTCATATGGAATATTTCGTCCCGCTTGCCGAGATGAAATTACATTGTAGTTCATTTGTCCAGGGCGGCTAAGAGAAATGTAGAAGTTTTGCATATGCTAATGAGCATATGCAAAACTTCTACATTTCTCTTAGCCGCCCTGGACAAATGACTCATTTGACACAGGTAACACTGTTATACAGCAATTGTTCTTTCTTGAAGCTGAAAGTTTTAATATACACTTCTTTCTCAGACTTAAACAGCTTCTGGTTCAGTTTCTATGTAATTAGTGTTAAGGCCGAGATGGCACATCTCTTAGCCGCCCTGGACAAATGACTCATTTGACACAGGAAACACGGTTATGCAGCAATTGTTCTTTCTTGAAGTTGGAAGTTTTAATAAACCCTTCTTTCTCAGACTTACATACATTTTTGGTAGATTTTTTATAATTTGATAATTCAAAAGGACATTGGTTTTCCAGTTAGTTGTATGATTTGTAAGGGAGAATAACAACAGCTTCTGGTTCAGTTTCTGTGTAATTAGTGTTAAGGCCGAGATGGCACATCTCTTAGCCGTCTGGACAAATGATTCATTTGACTCAGGTAACACTGTTATGCAGCAATTGTTCTTTCTTGAAGTTGGATGTTTTAATATACCCTTTTTTCTCAGACTTACATACATTTTTGGTAGATTTTTTATAATTTGATAATTCAAAAGGACATTGGTTTTCCAATTAGTTGTATGATTTGTAAGGGAGAATAACAACTGCTTCTGGTTCAGTTTCTGTGTAATTAGTGTTAAGGCCGAGATGGC